GAGAGAGAGAGAGAGAGAGAGAGAGAGAGAGAGAGAGAGAGAGAGAGAGAAAGAGAGAGGATGTGAAAAAAGTGGGAGGGAAGGAAAAATCTTTCGCTACTTAGAAATTAAAAAGGCAATCTAGTCCGTTCTCCGTTTTTTCATTTTCTCGGCTATACTACTTTTTTTGTTTATAATCGAAAGCAAACGTTTTCGTTTGTATCTCTCATTCGAGTTTAATTAGTTTAATTAAAATCGAGATAATTACATCCTAATATAGTCTTTACTGTACAACTTACGTGATGTGAAATAATAATAATAATAATAATAATAATAATAATAATAATAATAATAATGAACAAACACGTCTATTTTTCTCGTATCTCCGGCAGCAATGACAAAGATCTTTACTCACTTAAAGATCTAATTTTATTTATAAAAGAAGAATTCTCATTCTTTCATTCTCATTCATGGTTTTTCAAGTAGTTTTATTTACTTTGTGTTTTATGCATAGTGAATGCATTGTCGCAGATCACTATTGTCGGTTTTACTACATTTTCTTTTGTAATTCATTCTGTTATTTTCATTCAAAAACACGCGGTCGTTTTTCAATCGCGTTTCTTTTTCTTTGTTTTTTTTTTTCCTAAAGTGGTGTCTCTCCCTTATTTCTACAAATAGTCATCTGATAGGAACTTTCAGTATTGCCTAACTCTGGATATATTATTCATCGCTATAATAAAATTATTCAATTTTATCTAATATAAACACGACAAGGTATCTTTTCAAACGGACCCCCTAGATTATCACACGGGCCCCCAAAAAAAGATGATTATGCGACGTAATTGGTAAATATATAAGGTAAAGGTAAAATTATGATATACAATATTGAAAAAAAACGTGATCAACGAATAATTACGTGCACGAGACGAACAACTAAATACAAATGGAAAACAAATATATTTTCCCTGAAAGCTAACGCGTGCACACCACTCACTTGATACAGACTCTCACACTCTCTCAAAATAAAAAGTGTCACATATTGATTTATCAATTAATATATAGAACATTCCATGTCAACTCAGGCACCTTTGATTTTTTTTGTCTTATAAATGTTAATTGGCATATTTGAATCAAGCATCACTTGTTTCCTTGAAATTTACACTGTTGAACGACAATTGAAATTCCATGGACAGTTGCGTAGTAATTTTCAGGAGAAAAATTATGAAAATTCAAGAAAATATTTATTAGAATTCTCCTAATGTCTATTGATTTTCTCGGAATTATTGAATGTGGATGTTTTTTTGTCATAAAATTAAAGAATGACATTCATCTATAGCCGTAATGACTGATTTGACATGGCACGTCCGATATTCAATATAATCACACCGAGACCACGTGATAAATTCCTCATGTATATTATTTTAATAAATACAATAATAAAATTCGTTACGAACGTTAAAGGAGTGGCGTTGCGCGCGCAAGCGTTGTACAGGCAGTAAATATATTTTTTCTCATAATTTCTTTATCTCATTGTTTTTTTTTTTTTTTTTTTTACGAGTCTAAGAGGTCAGCCAGACACTCACCGGGGGTGGTGGTAGCCGTACTGGCCGTTGTTCCGTGCTGCTGTTGCGACTGAAACATGGCTGTTGGATGAAGGAACAATGATCCATACATCATATTTTCGTCATTCTGTGATTGGGTATTTGATTGACCAGTTGTTGGATTTGTCATACTGCTTCCCGTTCCAGCCGGTAATATCGGTGCACCTGGGGTTGGCGGTACCAGGCTACCCTCCTCAACAGCAACGCGCACAGACTCAATGTGTCTACGTGAAAAAACATGCTCCTGGAGTGGTGATTTGGGTGTATAACGTACTGAGCACAAGCGGCATTCATCAGGACCCGTTGGTCCACGATGGGGTTGTACAGCAGAGCCCTCCGCCGGGAGACCAGCTGCCAATCTCGCCTTCTTTTCCTTAGCCCTGGCATTCTGGAACCATACCTGCAACCGTCGTTTTTCTCCAATTAGTGCTCCACTCTTTTCCTTTACTTTATACCAACACACACACAACACACACGTTTTAGTTTTAATTGTCTTTAAAAGTTAGTTTTGTTTCAATGTGGCTGGTGTAGCACCGTTGCTCACCTGGACGACGCGCTTTGGTAGTCCAATCTCCCGGCCCAACATCTCGCACTCTGCCATCGTTGGTGTCTTGTAATCAGAGAACAGTGACTTCATCACTTTCACCTGAGTCGCTGACATCTGTGTTCTGTACCTCTTGCCTCCTGATGCATTGCCACTCGTTGAATTGCCACTTGCTGCATTACCACCCGACACCGATGTCATACCACCAGGTGTTGTTACTGTACCACCGTGTCTCGAGCTCTGGGTACTCGAGGCAGGACTCGCTGGACCACTCTCGTCATCGAGGAATTCAGTTGTTTCGCTCATGCTATCGTCATCACAGATACTTCGCTCGGAGAGATCTGTCAATGGTCCACAGTCACTGCCGCCACGAAAGTGCTGGGCTAGGCTGTGCTGTTGCTCCTCCAGGAGATTAGTCAAACTTCCCAGGTTGAGTTTAACTGGTCGACTGAGATCCACTGGCTTGCTGAGGTCCAAAGGGGATTCTCCCGTTGCACTGGCACCCTGGCTCGCCGAATTCTCCTGTTTACCATTACTCGTGTGAGCCTGGAGTTCACTGATGTAACGCTTCATCGATTCTTCATAGTATTTTTTCAAGGATGCCTCAACGTCCGAGTTGAATGGGGGAAAAAGGGGGGGCATCATGTTCGGGGTGCTTGGGTTCGATGGCGCTGACTCCATGGACAATTCCTCGTCAGGAATGTTGTCGATATTAACTTCCCCACGTGCCACCTGGTCCGCGTGTTTGCTACTCAAGTGAGATTCAAGGGCTGATTTGACCTTGAATAATGCCGGACAAAAAGGACAACGTTTGTTAATTACTTGGCTGTGAGCACGAAACTGTCCTTTACGCTCGCGTGCTCTCGTATTTTGAAACCAAACCTGAACTACTCGCTTCTTCAGTCCCACCTCTCTCGCTATTGTCTCCAGCATCTTTCTAGAGGGATTTGATTCCACCTGGTATTTCTGGTAGAGATAGTCCAATTGTTCAGGTAAAATAGTCGTTCTCAATCGCTTGTCCTTGGGCTGCTCGCTGTGCTCAGAATTATTACGATTTTCACTACCAGTATTTTCTTCAAAATCCTCAAACTTACGTTTTCGATCCTGCATCATGGCAATCAAAGGATGTGGGGGATCGCCAGTGATGCCGGTACTTGCGTTGAGCGCTTGTTGCTGGAGAATTCCAAAGGGTGAGTCTGGAGGATAGGCTGGTGGAAAGAGCGATGGATTCATGATATGTACCAGCTGATGTTCACGCCACAGTTCAAATCTACCGAACATTAAGTTGCACTTGTCACACTGAAAACTTGCCTCTTTCGATTCGGACTGAGCTGGTTGAGTGGATTGAGGAGTCGTTGGTAATTGACTAGGGAGGGATTGCTGTATATGCGGTGGTGTTGAAGTGCTCAGGGGTCGTTGGAGCTGGTCAGTCAGGGCTGGAGTACTGGGATTATTTGGCACTGCGTTTGTCGTTGCTGTTGTTGTTGTTGTTGTTGTTGAACTGCTGTTACTGTCTTCAGAGCTCAAAACTGCAGCTACTTGGGCTGCTGCTGCCTGAGCCTGGGCACTTCTTTTCGCATCCTCCTCCTTGAAGCAGTGGGTCTTCTGATGACGAATAAGTTCATAGTAACGCTGAAACACGAGCAAACACTTTTTGCATTGATAATTCAGTCCTGGAGTGCGTTGAAATCGACCTGAACCGTCGTCACTCTCCCGTCCACCTGGTGTTACTGGCTCGGCTGCTGGCTGATTCTCGTATACTTTTCGTGCCTTTTGCCGTGCATTCTGAAACCACACTACTATCACTCGCGGTGACAAACCGAGAAGTTTACTCAGATACTCCAGGTCATCGTCTTTTGGGTATGCATTGTTCTCGAAAAATTCTTGGAGCACTTTTATTTGATAATCGGTGAATCTCGTTCGGTTGGCACGTTTTCCAGAGCTACCGCCCGAGGAATTACTCCCATTGCTGTTTCCACCGAAGGAAAAATCCGTGGGACCACGGCCTGGACTCAAGGATCGTTGAGGTGTCAGGGCCATGGCAGCTATTGAACTGGCAACGACATTGCCAGCTCCGGGATTTGGACTGGCAAAATTTTGTGGTGTTAGTTTTGGTGGGAGCATTGGCGTCCCTGGATTGTTTGTGGTGCAGCCATGAGACATATCATGGTGGAGTCCGGAAAAAACCGAACTCATGCTCAATGCCGGTGAGTGAGGACGAGATTGTTGGCCCCCAGAACTTCCCGGTGAGTGATGGGGCTCCTGATCCATCTGATGTTGAGGGAGCATTTGTTGGGATGACATTGAGTCCATTGGCTCCTGCTTAATCTCAGCTATTGGAGTAGTTGCCAAGGTGCTTGGTGGCGGTGATGATTGCTTGTTTGGGCTCTTGTCGTCGGAGGAACTTCCCCCTGAAGTGGAGGAGTTCAAGGGCGTCACTTTGGCCTCACCAGTTTTCTCGTACTCCTCCAAGTTGAGAGTTGTGCTTGGGGGATTGTTGAAATTATAAGGACTGTCTTTGTTACGCTGACGCTCTTTGAATAGTGTGTTTCTGAACCAGTGCTTGATGACTTTTGGGGGAAGACCGCTTTGTTTCGCCATATCGACGATTTGCTCCTCGCCTGGAGAATTGTTGATGTCAAAATGCGCACGGAGGATTTTCAGCTGATCATCGGTTATTCTGGTACGGGCACGCTTCTGGGATGCTGCTGCGTTTGCCTGAACAAATATGCAACAAAATATTCTTCAGGATATGTTTCTAGATTAAACTGATTTTACACTTGGAGAATTCAATTTTGACAAGTCTTTCAACTGTTTTGGCTGATATGTACAAAACATGAGACATTTATTTGTTGCGATTTTTTTTCAACTTATTGATTGCGCAAGGCCCCCCGCGCAAAAATATTTGAAAAATATTTCAAGGATAAAAAATAAATGAATAAAAACTCACCGCCGCTGCCTGTTGCTGTTGAAGTGCGAGATGCTGCTTGGCAAGAAGATCCGCTTGTGCCTGTATCGGTGGATATGCAGGATTCTGATTATTACTGCCATCATAAGGTGGGGGTGGTAACATCATCGGTACTAATGGTGGTTGAAGATTCATAGCTGCAAGAGCTGGCACATTGAGACCCAACGGTAGTCCCATCATCCCCATCATCAATCCCGGATACTGTTGCAAGTGTTGTTGCAACTGACTAGCAGCTACAGCATTTAATGCCGCCTGCATTTCCGACATTTGTTGAGCCAATGTCATTTGTTGAGCATGCTGTTGTTGTTGTTGTTGTTGTTGTTGCTGCTGCTGCTGCTGCTGCTGCTGTTGTGACTGAGACTGCATAGAGTGCTGTGGATTATTGGCCGGAACAGCAGTGGGTGTAACTGATTCTATACTCGATACTGGTGTATTACTGAGTGCTGGCGTTGTAGCCGGAGTTGTCGATGTGGCCTCCGGTGTACGACTGACTCGCTCTTTACTCTCCGTTAACTCTTCTTTATCCTTATCTCGTTTCTCCTTATCTGAGCTCAAGTCCTGGGGCTGATTGGCGGCGGTGGCCGGTGTTGAACTGCGCGGCGCCGTTGTTGTCGATGACGAAGTTGCCGCTGTTACCACAACACTCTTCTTCTCATATTCACATTTAAACTGTTGAGCGTATTTTTCAAGAAATTCACGCGGCACCAAATCACGATGTACCTCCTCGCAGTGTGCCTTCAGTACCCACACACTGCTGAATTCTTTATTGCAATGTTGACACGTACTTCTCGTCAATTCGGGGATTGTCGCCTCCTCCTCACCTGGCTCCTCAGTCTCCTGATCCTCTTTCTCCATTGCCTGTTGAGCAGCCAATGCCTGTTTGGCTTGCTGCTCCTGCTTTTGCTGTTCCTGCTGTGCCTGAAGGGCAGCCCTATCCTCCTCCTCTTTCCTCTGACGCCTCTGGTGATTTTCATTGAATTGCATTACGAGATCAAAGCCAAAACTTTCGAGTAAGTGTTTGTACATTTGTGAGGTCTTGTGTCTGGGTTGAGATAAGATATCTTGGGCGACTTGATTAGATGCCTGCGTGTGCTGGGCGTACTGCTGTTGAGGGCCCGGTGTTGTGGAAATGGGTGGAGGTGTTTTGTCAGGTGTCGAAGCAGCCATCTGCTGTGATGCAGCTAGAGTTTGAAATAATGCCAAGGGGTTACTGAAGATGCAGTACAGCTGCTGATGAGTGGTCAGTTGCTCCTGATTTACAAATAGAGCACTACAGCGGGGACAAGAGAGCATATTGCTGTTACTGTTGGCGGCATTTGTGCTGCCTGGTGGACTATTTGGGCTGGATGGGGGTGGCTGTTCGATGAGGGGCCGCGCTAGATCGAGTTGACCGCTGGCAGCGAGATCTGGTAATTTACTGGCTCGTGTTTGATGGAGAACACTTCTCATGTGAATGTCTAGGGTGCTACCTTGAGAGTAGGCAACTTTGCAGATATTACATTTGTATGGTTTTTTGTCGTGATCCTGTTGGGAATCAGGTGATTCGGTGGGACTCGCTGGTGGTATAACAGATATGAGGGTATTGTTGTTTCCCTGCTCCTGCATTGCTCTCTTGTGCTTGTGTAAATGACTGACACTATTGTAATGAACCAGTAATATATTCTTTTGCGTAAAACTCTCTTTGCATACGTCACATTTGTACGGCCTATTGGGATCAAGATATTTCTCCATTGGATAGGTCATTTTTTCACCCTTACGATGTAACAATGTCTTGTTGTGTCCAGTGAGGTAGCTCTGCCGCGTAAAGGCAACTTTGCAACGATGGCACTTGAATCTACGTTGAGGATCTTGATACGAGTCTTCAGCTATTGCCTGACTATTGAGATAATCCTCTAGTAATCTCTGCTCTTTGTGAAGTGGCGGTGAGTCACTGGCGTCGCTCTCCTCCTCGTCACCCCTCGACTCCTCTTCGACATTTTGCTCGCCAATGACACCACTCTGACGTCTAATTGCCTCGTCAGTGAGCGCCTGAAGAAGGGGATGAGCGTGGAGTAGGCTCTGCTTGTACTGCGCCAGTTCATCCTCCTGGAGATCGGCGTGGGCCGTTTCCAAGTGTCGTTGAAGTGCCTGAACAGAGCGAAACGACCTGGCGCAGAGTGCACATTTGGTGGCGTCACGAATGGCGTGATATTGTGAATGTTGTTGAAGTTTTTCAAGTGTTTTGAAGGCCAAACTACACTGGCCACATCGGTATTTATAGACGTGTTTCTCACTGACAGCCAAGGTGGGCGTTGTCGCTGGATGTGACTCCCTGTGATGCTGTTGGAGCTCCTCCAGAGATCTGCAGATTCTACCGCAAATTGTACACCTTGCAATCTCCTCAACCTCATCACTTGTTCTCTCATTATCATCTTCTAAATGTTGTTTTGTTGTACTTGGTGATGTTGGTGTTGCTGCCGGTGTAGATGTATTTCGTGGACTATTATTCAACCAGTGACTCTGATCAACAAGAAGCAAAAGCCTCTGGAGACCATCGGCATTCACCGAGTGAATTTGCATTACGTGTTTTTCAAGTGCAGCACGCTCTTTGAACCCATCCTGACACAATGGACACAACAACTCTTGTACAGGCTCTTCTTTAACAACTTCCATCTTCTCTTCGTTCTCTTGTGTATGAGCCACTTGAAGGTGCTGCTTCAATTCCTCCTTCGATGTTGGCTGATACGTACAGAATGGACATACAATTTCCTCTGTCTCGTTTTCCGGCTCGGGTTCTTGCTCTTGCTCGTTGTCTGGCTCTTGCTTCACCTCACTACCACAATCGCTGCTGTCCTCACGCCGCTCTGTAAAAAAAAAGGAACAATAAAAATATTTATCGTGTCACGATTGAGACAATAGATACTACAATTCAATGACAATAAAAAATAAAAATAAAAAAGTAATCATGACACAACACGTGCATCAATTTGTGTGGTTTGTGTTTTGAATAAAAAATCCGTTAGGAATTTATCATCCGTCAATATGGCATTGTTTTCAATAAATTTTTGTATTAATTCATTCCATCGTTGTGTCTTACGACACGCGACTCGTTATTTATAGGCATTCTGGCTGAAAGTTTGAGGAACTTTGGTGTAAAAACCAGTTTTTAATGTTTCTGGGTGTTAATTTCCACGCGACGAATCGGGACACACAACGAGATGGAATAAACGGCAGTTTTCAATAAACCGCTAGGCGTGACGGAGATGAGTATACAAGGCGTCACGTTGACTGAGAAAAAAAATCTATGAATATCCAAAGATTGTTATTCCTGATTAAAGCCCAGGCAATATGAATCGTGAAGCTCAATCCATTCATACGACTCGACGAGGAATTTAATTACCCATCGGTATTGAATTCCGGAAACGTCATGGAGAAAGCCAATATAGTATGCGATTGTTGATGTGAGACAAACTATTTTTTTTCTCTTCATTACTTAGTGTTACACACTCTCTCCTCGTGTATTTTGGACAACCGGAAACAAAGTGGCCCACCGACGGATACGTGACGCCTTCTCGTCCGGTTGGTTATTATTTTTTATTTTTTACATTTTCCCCAGTAACCGCATTTCGATAAAATTATTAGTCGCAACCAATCGATCCCACACACTTGACGAGAACCAACTGGTCAGGTATTGCCAAAGTTGCGGGGTGAAAGTTTTTTTTTTTTTTACCATTCGTTCCCATTCCGAAAAAGCAGGGTTAAACAGTAATATTTAAAGGTAGAGTATAGAGGGGGAGGAAAGGAAAAGGTAGGTCGGAGGCCGCCACAGATGCCCACAAGCACTACCGCCGGTCGTCATCGAAATTCGAATTATAGATTCGTAATATCAAATTAACCGATGGTTGTTTCCGTGATGTGGGGTGAGGAGAAAAAGAGAGAGATGGAACAAGTGTATGCATGCATTTGTTGAGAGTACAGGGGAGGAAGGAGTAGCATATAACAACAACATAAAGACCAACAGATCGACTATAGGCCAGACATTGTCCAAAACCGCATTGGAACGTCAGTTGCGAAGGAGGCGAAATGGTTGGCGCGTGTTGCTCTCAATTCTATGGCCTTGTTTCTTTCTCCTTGTATTATGAATCGGGGGTAAAAAGTACATGCCGCTGTGGCACAATGGGATATCAACTTATATTCCAAAATAATAAAGAAAACATATACACAAGAATGAGAACATTGTATATGCGTGGCAGAGGTGGGCACACGCCATTGCCATATGCTACGGAGGAGAGGAATGAAATAACCGTAATTGCAGTAGGAGGTTAATTGCTGTATGAGTGTAATCGATGAGTGGATTCATAGTGCAGTGGATTCATTACAATAGAAAAAGTGAAAAAATAAAAAATAAAAAATAATGAAGAAGCCAAGAGATAGGTGTCTCTGGTAAATTTTTCACGTTCTCGGCATTTATTATTGGCCATATAACGCGCATTACAAACGACAGTTGGGCACTTCAATTTATGACTTGCACGTCTTGGAGATAATTTTGATTAACAAAACCACGAGTTACGTCACAACAGCAGCAGCAGCAGCAGCAGCAGCAAAAAAAAATATGAGTATACATCGACACACGCAATTACAAACAAATCTGAATAACAGAGTAACATCAAACATCAATTGTATCGTGTAAATGGTCGTGGGTGAATGACAAATTTGTTTTTTTTTTTTTTTTTTTT